CTGAAGCACTGCCTCGTTGTGACGTAAGCCATACAGCTATACAGCTATACAGTACAACACCGGACACGCAGCCTTGTCCCTTGTTTTCTTTGGTCCCGTCGACGACCTTTGTACGTCGTAAACATTCACGGACCCCCACCCGACGAAATCGACAGTCACTAGTCAGAACGGGTATATCTGCAGCCATGAGGAGCTTCCAGTTACGTGGCTAGTCCAGTAATTCCATACTTTTATGGAGGCCCACCATCGGATCCCATATCTTGAGCCAGCTGAATCCACCTCACACACGCCCTGTTTCCAACAGACTCATTTAAATACCATTTTCCCTGAGGTCTTCCAGAAGGTATCGTTTTAGGAGGCTTCCTAACTGATATTTAAAGTGTTTCTCATATTTACCACGCATGCTATCTTTCCCGGTCACCTCACCATCCTAGATGTGACCGCCCTGAGAAAAAAAAACTTGATTACAATTTACGATGCTCTGCGTATATTTCCACAGCGTCCTGTAATTTTCCTCTCTCTAAGTCTAAATATTTCCCCCAGCGCTTTGTTCTCAAACAGACTGTTTCTGTTGAAATATTATAATTGAATCCTACCCAAGTTCCCGTGGAAGTGCTTGGTCGTTAAGTGAAAAGTCTCGGTGTTGAGAGAATGCCAAGACGACGAACGAAGACGGCGACAGTAATACGAGCCGCCACTGCTCGGATCCCAAATCAGGAAGTTAACACAGACTCATCTGTCGAAGCGGTGTCATACACTGCTGTAGCTTCCAAGGTCACATGCGTTGCCTGACCGTCTGTCTCTGTCTAGCACATGGAGTAGGTCAGGGTCTGCGAGGCGGGTTGCGTGACTCCCCTGTGATGTCAATGTCATACAAACCCCGCAGCTCGGCATAAAACATTCCTGGACAGCGGTCTGCCACGTGTCCACCACCTACGTTGTCTTCTGAAGTCAATTGTAGGACTTCACAGACGGATCAACGTGCTTCAGCTACCTATAAGACTGACTGCATGGCATCACAACCCAGAAGGCAATAGTCCTAACGCGTGGTGATTATGTACGCACTGGGTGCGAACATCTTTCCACCTTATTCAAATGAAGGGTAGTAAAATGTTCTGTTTTTCTTGAAAATACAGATCTGAGTATTTTATTAGTTTCTGTTACTATCTTTCCAAGCTAGACACAGACTCCTTATCTCGTAATGGTAGGCTGATCGTTTTACAATGTGATGACATCTGTGAAAATGCATATTTTATCCAGCCAGTTGGCGATATATAGTCTGAGTTACTGAAAAAGCATCGTTAAATAAATTATAAACAAATAAATGAACAACTCCAGCAGGGATGAAGTCGGAAATAGTTGTTAAAAACATCTGCACTCTACTGCGTGTACACAGGTTGTGTTACTGGCGCTGAGTGAAATAACTCTACGGATTTTAATATCTCAACCCTCGTATACCTATATAATATTATTCTGTATCCTTAGTACAAAGTATTGCGTTGAAATGTAATTATTTTAAATGTATTGCTGATTTACTTACATTAGAACTAATGTACAAGTAACTAGAAGGTGCATTTCGTACGATATAGCATTGTAAGAATTTGTAGATAAAACATTTTTCTGCCATTTAAAATTTCAGTGTGTATGTGTGTGTCGGTATCAGCAGTAATTTTCCTTTCGACAGAAAAAGAGCCTTTGTATGGAGTGCTGATTGTTTTTCCTTAATCCTGTCAACCAGTCTGCTTCTATGCCGGCCTGTTTACTGCCATGTTTGTGACGTGTGTTCAATAGTGCCCGTCCATCAGCTGTACATAACATTTGTAGGCCTAACCCATCGAGTGAGAGTTCTCCATCAGAGGAGTACCCCGCAAAAACGTTAAAAAAAGAAAAAAGAAACAGACATTTGAGTTTCCCTATCTGTAGTTGCTTATTTCCCTTGCCGACATATGTTTTGACACAAGAATTGTGATAAGCATTGTTTTAAAGAACAAACAATTTATTTGCCCCTCCATTTCGGAGACTTTTTTTACAAAACAATCCTTTGTGACATTACCATTCATTAGGTGACAATTATCTTAAATCAGCAATACATAATAAATTTTTACACCGGAAATTGAATATATTTTTATAAATCAAGCTGTTAAACACATTTGTCTTTACGAAACAATCTGAAAGAACTAATAAAAATAAACAACAGAGATGAAATACTCTGTATTTTTCACGAAATATTAAAAAAAATCGGTGGAGACTTTTGTCCCACTACACTTCGTGAAGTAAAATCTCAAGAAGTTAATACGTATTTAAAATTTAAAATTCTCGTGATCAGGTGTTATTCTGCTTCTCTCATCCCTTTCTGGCCCAATATAATTTTTTTGTGGCGAGGAGACCATCGCCTGTCTTGGTATCCTAGATCCTCATTTTGAGTTAAAAAAAAAAGTGTGGGGGGGGGGGGGAATGTAAGGCTGAAAATTTTACTCTACTCTGAACCCTCTGTTAGAAACTGTACAGCAACAGATTGTGACGTTTTACATTCAGTCAACATTAATTAGAACCACTAATGAGGAGTCTGTTTTGTTTAAGTCGATATGCATGGTGAAGGACAAACGCATTAACTGCCATTCTGATACGAACTGATTTGTTCAAATTGCAATTTTTACATTACATTTTCTCGCGGACTTATTTCTCAGTCCCTTTGTGAATAAAAAGTAAAGACGGAACCGTTTTATTCTGGATAAATGACATATATAAAATGCAGATACATTAAAGCATAATTTCTGTTTAAACGTATTTATTATATTCAATATAAATGTGACAGACTTTCCTCGCAGCTGCAAAATCAATTTTGAGTGCCTGTATTTAACCCCGTTCATAGAATCTGAAGGGGTGTCCAGTTCCGATAATCAGGTTTTGCGTCATCACACAAGTACGATGCCAGTCTCCGGGTCACTTTCGGGTTTCTTTAAAGACCAATTTTAATACAATTCTCCAATTTACGCTTAGGGGTTTCAAGTGGCCCCTTCCCTTCGAGATTTCCGACAAAATATGTTTTTATTTCTCGTCTTTTCCATGGGTTTTGCATACACCGCCCACGTCATATGACTTCATCTTATCACCCTGCGGTGTTTCCGAGATACTTCTTGTTTTACATTCTAGAAAAGACTTAATAAAAATTGAACATTTGTCGAATATGGATATATCCATTTCATACAAGTCAGAACCCTACATTAATCGACGCTGATGGCGATTCTGTTTCAGATAATCACACTGCCGTCATGCTGGTATATTAACAGAAGGAAATAAAAAAAAATCATAGCTTGGATGGCCTATAGTGGAAGTTCTTTTCTCGTTCGACATCCGTCAGTTCAGATTCTATTAATGTGGAGAGACGAGGATATTTACTTGATACTGACATTGTAAAGATGGTAATGACTTCTTTATTTGAGATGCTGCAGATTCGGCGCCAGTTTTGTATGATTTGTAAATGTTAAATATATTGATCGTACATTGGACTGGAAACTAATTTTCTAAATGTTAGACCGAATCCGACACCCTTCCCTTCCCGAATATAATTATAAATCATCAATAATAATCAGGTCCACATTTATTTTCGTACTTATATGTCCGTGTGGTTTTTTTTGTTTCTTTCATTTTTCCTTGCATATTTTACTTCCTGTTGCAATTCTAATATTTCAGGACTGTTTCTGATATCGGTAGTGAAAGGGTTGCCACAACTTTATTAGTTTCGGTAATTTTCGTCATGATTGATAGTGACAACATGGCGGCCGCACGACTGACAATCTGTAATCTGTTCTTGCGCCCGCAGGTGAACCCAGTGCTGTGAACAAGAAGGAGCTACAGCCGCGTGTAGTTGTGCTCCGTACGGACCGCAAGAACGAAGTATGTGAACGGCACGTGAACCAACTTTTGTTACGTGGAGAACACGTGGCGCTTATCTCAGTGCTGGACTCCTGAGGGAACACAACTTCCATCGTTCCTCCCATGCAGATTTTTCAGAAAACTTTAATAATATGAAGTGATAATTTCTAAGCAGGCTTCATAACTCCATTCTCGTGAAACTGTTCGTTGAAGTTATGTAAGCTCTTAAAAATTATCACATATAAATACATTTATGAAAAGAAATAATAAACGATTTTTTCGATATTTATCGACGTATCTAGTATTTCGACACGGAATGTTTTCAAATTTAATACTATGGCTGAAGTTTGGCGAACTTCCAGCTGAGATTTCAGACTCATGGCGACGAGTATGAAGATGGTTGTCTTCTTGGATGCTGCGCGTGTAGTCTGGTAAAAGTTGTCCCTTATGATGGAGGCCGTAATTATCTTTGAAACATCGGTGCACTTCCACCAGGCTATATGACGCAATAACCCAGGAGACGGCCATCTACCGATGGAATCTGTTGTCAGAAATGGAATTGTATACTGTTTTGTAATATATTTGCATCGGATTATTCTTTATTATCGGGGTACAGAAAGCAGATCTATACCTAGCAACATTCTGATATCTGTTTAATTTACAAAGTATTTTCATTGTATTAAAATAAATAAATTAGAATTTAAACTTGATCATGTAAAGTTTGTAGTCACCTTACAATATCAACGCATCTTTCCTGGCTGTATTGCTGTGTTCTTGTCTCAAAATTCACGAAATGAACGAACTCTGAGAAATAATTTTTATCCGCATATTTCATATCTGAAAAGTTTCAACGAATTTCGATTAAATTAGGCTTAAATGTTCATATCGACAAGAAACTGAAAACACTAAATCAGGAGTCATATTTGTTGCATGCTAATATAATTACAGAGAAAGCCATTCCTTACTAAAATATCGAATACAAATCGAAATAAAATTGTTCAGATGAAAGAGTAAAGTTCCGATGTTCGTTATAATAAACGGTGATTTAACTCCAAGCATACTTAAGCGATAATATCGTTGTTATTCCAGAACAGATTATCGGCAATACTTCACTAATTAAGCAAATGTCTGGATAGCATTTTTCTGTAATTAATTCAAGTTGAATTGATAAAGAAATGTTATATCCAAGCAGTAATTATGTCGGCCATATCAGTGAAGAAGTTCTTAACAGTTTCGACAGGCAGGTTATGCCTACATGAAACGTTCCTTAGTGTATCTAATTTCTGTAGACTATGGATGTTTTAAGTCATATCTTATACATCCTCGTTTGTTATCGAGTACTATCGAAGAGACAAACGACATTCATGGACACCAAATTCGATCGTAGACTTATTTCGCTGCTGAACACTCTTCAGTTTAATACGATGCATACAAAGGCAGTTTGGTCATGTGTATCGTATGATCCTCATCGAGACGTGATTTAACACTGTAAAGGACGGTGGTAACTATTTTACCACCTGCTACAATATCCAGGAACTCTGCATTTTGTCCCACAATGCATTTATGAGTTTCATATGACCCTCAAGCCTAACATCACAGGAAGTTCAAGAATAATAATAATAATTCCTATCTCAAAAATCGCACAATCTCCATTTCAATAATAAATTGGTTGATGCTGTTTAGGAAAATAATCGCTGATCGCTCGTTCGTATTTACTCCCACTATTTTAACACTAAAAGTATACAATTATTATTTTCCTGATAGGTTCTCGATGTTATAAAATAAAAACCATAAAACTTCTAGAACATTTATTCTCTATTATAGGACTGTACATGCTTTTTCTCCTCCATTCACAGATCTTCTGCAACTCCAGTTCTTAGTTATTTTGTCCTTAAATTCTCTATTCTAAAACACCTACTCTCATCGGATATCAGTGTTGAAAAGATCGCACCTAGCAACTCCTTATTTTTTACACGGCTTTTTGTGTGATGAGATTGTCGCTGTATGAAACTACCCTTCCAGGAAGGTGGAACAGAGAATATCGCTCGTTCATGCCACGGCGTGGGATTGGAAGGTGTGGCCGGGTGTCTGCACGTGTGAATCCAGATGATGTAATGACAAGTCTTCTAAACGTAGGTAAAAGTTGTTCCTAGAACGCATTAGTGTGACTTCTATACCTTTTGTCCACTGAGTTAGAAGGGGCAGAGTTGACATGAGCTCTTCTACATTAGGTTACGAAAACTGAACAACGCACTATGTCAAAGTAAGTAGAGGACATGTGAGGTTAAAAAATATGTCCTTACCAGAAATAGGGGATGGGCGGTTACATCAGTAAATACAGTCCCAAATAGTCCTTATTTCGTCTGTACAGTCCTTGAAAGACCTTGTGAGGTTTCTTAAGCTATTTAGACATTCTGTAGGACTCCTTGGACGAATGATCAGCCCATTTACCTACACACAGGGCAGCACAACACAGAAAACGCTGACAGACATCTATGTATTTAGTGGGATTAGAACCCACGATTCCATTGCCCCACACCGCGCAGCACTGTGACTGACCCAGTTTTGTCCTGCAATTCTTAAATATAACTGAGATGAATTTAGGCTTAAACGGGTTTACCGATGTAAATGAAAATTAAGTTCGTCTTACAAATTGTTTAGGCTCTGTATAGAATTCTGTAAGGTGGTCGAGCAATGAGGTGTCTGATCGCTCATTAGAAGGCTAACGTTACCCTGATGCCAGTGCGAGTGCTTCTAGTTGCTAATTAACCCTTTAAAGCCAAGTGGGAACTTGTACTCGTATATCACCTGCTTCAGTAACTGTGCATTTTGTATTTATTTGTTTTATATGATTCTAATCGTAAGCAGGAATTATTTCCTTAAATAGAATTAACAAACTGATCTTTGTAATGGTGAAATTTAGTGTTTTCTTTGAGGTACGGGCTGAATTCTTAAATGCTGTTTAGACGAGTTTTGGCTTCAAAGAATTAATGAAGATCCCGGGAACTCTGGCCTAATAGAATGCCATTTCGGTTCCAGTCAGGTTTCGAAAACACACGTGAGGTTCGTCCCTGGTCAAACTGTGAGGTAAAGTAAGGAACGGGCTTGGCGCCGGGAGCTGTCCGAACTACGTGATGTCCTTGAGTGCAATGCTGTACATCTAAAATGCCTAAGCAAGGTTACAGCAATTTTCTTTCTTCACCAGCCTCTCCTACTTGTATGTTTTTTCTGAGCTGGTGCGTTCAGTTCACTAAAGTCCAGTCCGTCAGATGAAACAATGTTACGAGTAAAAGCTCTTACACGATAGAAATACAATTAGGGATTTCAATGCACTATTGCAGTATTTATAAACAGGTGGCCTGCAGTACTTAGTGGTATTTTACATTTTACCACAACTAGAAAAATTACTATTTTACAAGCACCTTGGTGCCTTCGGAATTTTAGAATATTCACAAGAAATTTTCAAAGTAGAATATTTTAATTATACGAATATTTGATATTTGTCACACTTGCGTTATTCTCTCTTGAGCCAGTTGATATAGCAGCTACAAGAACACAATCGTAATAAAATTATTTAAATTAGCTTTTTAAGATTCCTACAGCGCCCTCTGTAAATTGTGAGCTCTTCCTAGTTGCCCGTCACCCAGAAGAGGATGGCGGCCTCCCTCTTAGACTTTAACATTAATTCGTTGTCACAGATCAGCGTAATGGGTATCGATTTAAATACCTCAAGCAAATTGAAGTGTTCTCAATATTTTATGATCCACGAACAAATAAAACAACGGCCGAATTTCCGAGGACAAATACCTGGTGTCTCACTCTACAGTGCAAACAGGTTACAAGGAATTATTACTTACGTGTAAACATGTTTATTTAAAATATAGAATTTAAGTATTGTATGTAGTATTAATATCGAAGAAACGTCATAATCACCTACAGTAAATATTCGCAGTTAAAAATTATGTCCAAGGACACATTAAAGGATTTAAGTCGTCAGACAGGCCTGTGTAAGTCTTTCAAGAGGCTGGGGAGAGTGGAAAAGTGGTAATGTACGACTCAAACTACTTAGTCGCAAATTAAAGGAGAAAAGAGCTCTCTCCTTGCAAAATAGAAAATTTTCAGATGTAGTAAAACATAGATATAAAACCAAATACCGCTGTCCGCGTACCACAGACTGAGTGACACTGCTGTCTATGATGAGTGCATCATAATGATATTATGTTGAAGTGTAGTGGGTAATCTGAGTGTGACATTTCACTTTTTCTCTAAGTGGAGAACCAGACGCGAGGGGGCAATAAATTTAAGTTTCCTCATCAGAAGAATGATCCTATGGCTAAAACTCATAGCATTCATTGAGATACACAAAAGAAGCCGAAAATCCAGGCTTGCACAGCAAATAGCCAGTTACACAACAGAATGGCACTCCGGAGTCTCTAGTTTGCATCATCAGCAGCAATAGCAGCTGATCAACTCCACACGGGCTGACAGAACTGACGAGACTTTCACTGCCAGTGAAAGTGAGACCCACTTCTTCCCAAGATTTCACCTGTAGGCCTACAGACTGGAAATTACGGAGAGATTCGCTTCAACTTACCATTCTTTTTCAAAGATGAAGCGATTAAATGCAGGAAGAGGTGTTGCAGGCTGCGTGACACAATGCAATTGACGTCAAAGATGTTGGATATTATATGATAAAAAAATTAAAGATTACAATCAACTACAAATGTTTACGTAGCGTCGAGCAATATGTATGAATAATACTGGTGCATTTAATAACACTCATCAACTGCAATGATAATAGAATCCATTTTGAAACGACATGATAATCACGAGTGATATAACTCATGCGGAAGTGGTAGAAATTCGGTAATATTTACTTCTCAGTACCGAAATCGTTTGTTGCTGTGCGTACTCTTCGTGATGCAATTTCAAGTAAGAAAATGTTAACACAGTATCGGTCCTATTTTTCAACTGTTGCTGAGTTATGGCGGTTTCCAGGTGAGCGCACAGAAAAAATGATAGTATTAATCGTATTAATTTATTATCACATTTTATGAGATACATATTATAAATGTTAAAAATGTTTGCCACTGTTTTCAAAGCACAGCCTAACTCATTAGACCTCACAAAATGAAAAAGAGCTAAGTTAGGCCCGGAGATCTTGGTGGCCAAGGTGTTAGACCATAACAACCAAGTTCATACAAACACACTCAGTTCACAATGATATATTATTGCCAATCCGTAAGATACTGAACTGTTATATTTTAGTGTGCTGCCACGTGGAAAAGGTTTGCAAACCCTACCCTCTAATGAACACTGAACAGACGCTGGTTCTCGGTCCACACATCGGATACAGATTCGTGATTGTTTTGAACAAAAACATATGCCACTATACTTTTTAAATGTTCCTTCTCTGAAACATGTATTACGCAATACAAACATATTATTAAGAAAAGACACGTTTAAAGCGTGTTATTCGTGTCTGCAAGTGTCTGTCTGTCTCTTTTAATAACGTTTTAACAAACGGGCAGATTTTCATGAACATCAGCCAACCCCTGCCATCAGAAATACTAATATGGCGGTTTTGCCAACGTATGGGGTGGAAACGACGTTTAACTTATGCTCTGAAATGTGTGGTAAAAGACCTTAAAAAATTGTAACCTTGACTAAAGTTATGTTTTATGGAACATGGCAACCGTGCGAAATATTTGTGTTGCCGATGAAAGGTAGATGATTAAAATCTGGTCGGGAGAGAAATAAACATGAGCAAGTTCTGAATGAAACATATTAATAATTATCATAAATTTAAGGCATGGCCATGGTGCGAATCGTTGAGGTTTACGAGTATTTCTGACAAATTTCGCGGTTATTCTTATCGACATAAAACAGACTTTCAGTCTGTAGAAGAGTTATCTGAATAAATGTAATGTTTCATGTAATTTTATATGCTTATGTAACTGTACAGAGTTGGTAACACGAGTTGAACTATTAGACTAAAAACAGATAAGATGATTAAATTGAACTTTGAACTGGTAAAAGAGATAAACGTTAAATCGGCATGCATTTTAAACGTCAGTGTTGTACGTATAGGTCTTCAGTACAGAAATGGGACTTATCAGACGAAATGCACTCGCACAGTAGCCACGGACGAATAAACTTAGACAGCTGTCGAGTACCTTTTAGTCTGCTTAAAACTATAGGGAAGTGAATTTTGATCAATGACTAGTATATTAAAGATTAATTTCTGTGACCGCTATTTATGTCTGGAGAGCCGTTGTGTCAAAAAGTTCGCGAAGCACTGCTCTGGTAGTTCAGCGCCAGAATGTCGATTCCACGGTCTCCCCTACACACACATAAGGCCAGGAGGCGTTATGTAGAGGTAGCCAGGACCTTGAACACTGATGCAAATTGCTTCATCCTTACTGCTACCCGCATTACTTAGACTAGCTGTATGAAACGACTGTTCTGAGGCATTTTATCCATTACGTACATAGCAGTACGATTTGTACTGGTTCTTCCAAACAACACGAACCTGATAATTACTTCACTGGTTCGGTAAACATATTATGATTTTATGGACCCTATCCTGAAACCACAAATTCAGGAAGATTTCACATTCTTGAATCAATTGAATTAGTCGATGTGTCCACTTTCCATTCAGTAACTCGTCTTTTTTATGTTGTTCCTTGCAATCTGTGGATAAAGCTGACAAGTCTTATACACACATTTGGTAGAAGCGGAATTTTATCAAAAGGCTTATGATTCCAGCAGTACCATATATTCGATGATTCTAGTAAACAGAGTGTGCCCAGTCAGTCCAATGCCGCAGTATTGCTAGACTTTTGTTTGTTCGAGGGTTACAAACGCGAGCAGATATAATTTGGAATCGGATGAAACAGATGACTTGGAGTGGTCTGGTGGTGACCTATTTTAAGGCATTATCCCTGAGTGGGAGGGCCAGGAAAAACCATAACAGCACTCCTCTCTAATATTGCTGTGGCAGCCTACGTTATAATGCGGCTATAAACAGAAAGGGTCTATGATAAGGTCGTGGTGAGGCCACGGCTTCATCATCTGTGAGATCACTCTCACGAAAGCACATTAAATAGACCTAGACTCAAACGGGCTCTACGTAATATGCAGACTGAGGTCACAGTATAACATTAGCAAACCAATATAGCTCATTAACATTTTACTAGTGGTTTATTTAAAGACGCTTTTTTCAACTGAAATCGTTATGCATCATTGAGTGAGCGACTAAAAATCTCACGCTATTGCTTTTGGATGCCGGGAAGGTATCAAGAGAAGAATTTGCTGTCTGCCGATCAACTTAAATCTGGACTCGCTCGAAGCAGATTTGGTATACAAATTTCCTGTATAATCCCGACAGTTAAGAATAGCAGAAATAAAAGTTTCTGTCACTGTTGTTTCTAGCAACAAAACACATGCAATGTCCGTCGTGAAATATCGTAATTTTACTCAAGTTAGCGGCAGCGTAGCAAGCTAGTAGGCATATATTCGAAGTTCATAGGATAAATTTTAGTGTACTCCAAATCACGCAAATCATATTTAAAGGAATTTAAGGGTATTTTGTTAGTGTAATAGGGAAATTCCAAATTTCTATGCTAAGCAGCAACAATTGACTCCTGTCACCCCCTAAAAGTCAGTCGTTTGAAGCAGTTTCTTCGTATTCATTAGCTTTTAGTCAATTGTTTGTATAATAAGCATCATGTTTTCAACAGTGTAGCGTGTTTATTGTTAAACATGTACGAAGCAGTTTAACAGATGAATCAGGCGCACTGTCTCAATGCTGCTGTAGCAAACATAGCAACCATTATTCGACTTGTTAATCGTTTTCGTTAAACTAGGTTCACGTACGATAAACGATATACCAAAAAACCATCTCTATGAAGAAATGGACACCTTCAACGTATGACGTAATTATTTAAATATAACTGCAATAAGTTCTTATCTAATATAATACATATAATAAACTTAACATCCAACTCTGGGTTGAGCGACTGTAAGGACGCACTGTAGTTTATATAATTATTTTCAATGCCTGTCAAAAATGCATGGGCGGTAAGCCCTGTGGAAAACTATAAATATTCAACAAAAGTATTTTCAACAACCGAATAAATAAATGCCTGCTTGTATTGATCAAAACATAGTTACTGGGAAATTATTTAAAAGTGTAAATGCTGATAAAGGACGTTTGGGGGGGGGGGGTTTTAGCACCCCTGAAATCGTCCATTGGTTCCCGAGCTTCAGGTTACCCAAGCAGTCGACGTCCATGGTCCACGGTACCCAACACATTACAGACCATTCATATAAAAGATACAAAACAGGGGGAAAAGTTAAGTTTTATATGCCAACAAATATTCTAAGAAAACTGAAAAATTGTTTCCAATACCAACAGGAAGTGAGTGAGTTTAGTTTGCATTGAAATGGAATGATAAGTTAGTAGCGCAATGTCGGTGGTGCGGATGCAGAACCCAGCACACTGGTATTATGCAACGTGAATGAATCAATATTAATCCACTGGGTACACTTGATTCCGTCAGATATCCTCTGGAACTTCACAGCAGTCCATATGTCATAATAGCCTTCGGAATTTCTTATACCCGTCGCAAATACCGCCAGATGATATACATATGACAGCCCGACCCTGGAGTGTTATTTATATGGAGGATAGCTTGTCACCTCTGCCGCCATGGGACGAGCTGACATGTTGCAGTCAACTCACAGTATGGAAGCAGGCAACCACAGACAAAAACACTAAAGGTCTCTGAGTGGCTGTAGTAACTAGAATGTTAGTCTGAATGGAAACGTAGTTTAAGGAAATAGAGCCCTGTGTTGTTATTTAAAATTTAAATCACTGCACAGCATATTATAAGGCACAGACAAATTTTGTACCATGATTTGTAAACCAAACTGTACTGAAATAAGTGCTTATGTATAAAACAATTTATTTTATTGTAATTTAATTCACTTATCCATTCACTTATTATGATAGTTCTATAAATATGTATTCCCGTTTACCTTACTAAAAATTTAAGTAAATTGTCCTTTAGGATGGAAATTTTCGGGAAACAAACTGTTCTGGAATCTTGAAATTGCGTATTTAAAAAATAATAATATGGGTTGTGAGGGCCCAGAGCCGGTCTGGACGTTGTGGCGATCAAAACAAGGAACCCAAAACTGACTGCGAGTTATTTCATACTGATACCAAACGTGCATTAAATTATAAGGTAACCATAATGATTTCCAGGTACCTTTGATGGGCTAGCCTAGAAATAGAAACCAGGTTACTCACGTGGACAAGTTGAAAGTTACGGGTGTCAGAAGCTGAAACAAAGAAGCATCAATATTACAACGAGACAAACGAAGAGAAACTTTTCAGTTGCTGGCTTCTATATATAAATCAAATAAATGAAGGAAGAATAAAAAATAAACTTACTGAAAGCAAGAAAATAAAATAAAAATACACTAAGTTTTTATTTAAATAAACTTTACTGACAATAAGTTGCTTATTTATTATGAAAATCTATTAATTCACGTATTAATATTGTTTCATGCATACATTCCATTTAATCAGTAATTCTTATCCAACAAAATGGCACCTAATAGAAACCGCTTTATGATTTTAAAGGTTTTCCAAGAACGAAACATCGAGAAACACAGATCGCTTTAGTGCTATAACGGTTTTATCTCCTAGCAATCTGACCAGAAGTGAAAACATTGAATGGTATTGCTTGAAGAACAATTGGCCTATATCAAGTCCTTTCCGCCGAACTAAACAAGTGTCTTTGCTTAAAACAGTCTAACTATATTGCGCAGACAGGCTTCAAATTCCTTTTTACCACCATCAGAAAGTAACTACATAAATCGTGTACGAGGTTCGCTGAAGTTGCATGTTTAAATCTGCCGTTGCCAAAAAATTCGTTAATCTGTAAATGTGTTTCTAGACCTGTGGCCCGCGGCCTAATTTATTCAGGTCTGCAATATTTAGTTAGATTCATATAGCCTAAGTGGTGTTCGATAAAACAGGCTTCAGTCTAAGTCAATAAGAATTAAGACGACTTAAGGCCTTCTGACAGAGCACAAAAGGTATTTCCATGGATGGATAGAGTAAAAATGTGAAACCAGCAACTTTCCTTCGTTTTACTTTCATTTCGTAAACGAAAATACGATACATCCTTTTTCCTAGAAACTTCGGTATGTTGCGGCCTTGCCCTCCGTTTCCGAGAGACATTCGTATCCCTGCGGGAAGCCTATTAAAAATGCTGTCTGTCTGTCTGTCCGTCCGTCCTTCCACCCACTCACATGAGACATCCTCGCAATGCCATTCGCAAAGGTCAAATTCTGGTGAACATGGCTGAATTTGTTACCCCATGTAAACATTTCCTAACTAATTATTTTAAGAAAATCACTACTATGCAAAATTAGAAGTGATTATGAATTCTGCATATTTACCAGGTTTTCCCAGTAGGAGACACGAGAGGCGTTACTTTTGAGTTTACGCTAATGTCCTGTCTAGAGTGCCTTGTTCAGAAGCCGGTTATCCTCCAAATAAATTCAACAAGTACTGGCCTTGGCTGCGATCCATACACGGGTATTGCAGGTACAGTGCCGAGAGAGAATCATGCATCAATTCATACAGTAAGACCTATATAAAAACAGAATCCTCCCTTTATTGGAAATCCGGTTCCAAGAATATAGTTATAAACCCAACATAACATTACGTCTAGTGAACGGAAGAAGTTCAAAGCGTTAACAGAAATGGGAGGCAACATTAATAAGAACCACGCGTTCCTACTGTACTTCTGGTTATTAATTATCGGACAGCATACCATGCAAGAAGCTTACAACGTCACTCAGCCAATGTTTTATCCTTCTAGTAAGCGTTATAGCGTAATTTTCGAATTGTTTACCACTGGTCTGAAGATGGCCCACTCAAATCTCGGCAAGGACCATATATCCTGACTGACGTCATTAGTTTGGTTTATTCCTTGAGGGCAATGACAAATCTTTAGATCGGTCAGGGCACTTTTTCAGGCTTATGGTAACATGATGTTGGCTTACGTTTTCACCACTGAAGGAATTCATGAAAATTAATACGCCTTTAGATGTCATCCTACCTTTGTCCTTTATTTTCCTGCTACAAACAATAACACAGGAACGTTACGAAGTTCCTGAGGTGGCAGTAATGTTAGTACCAGTTGATATAGGATGTTAAATGTTATGTGTTAATAGTCGGTAAATATGCAGCTGCTGCCAAGAAGGTTTTGTACGAATTACAATGGCACGGTGACATCTTGACATATAAAGCACACTTGGATTTTGAATGCGACAATTAGCGAACCGTGTGAAATCTGGTTTTATAAACATACGTACGAATTATGTATGAATCATTTCAAAATGCTAATAATTATAAATATGGTGACAACGCGAAATTTCGAAGTATGTCTGACAAATTTAATGCTGTCAGACTACTTGCTGGTGGAAACGATGGAAAAGAATGGTTCAATAAATTGTGTAATTATTATTTTATACTTCCTGTTAGCATCATTATGATAGAATGAAGCAATTGAAATAAGAGACACGTGAGGGGGAGAATTACAAGTTGCACGTGTTTTCACGACGGTGAAAATGTGTATTGTGATCTTCTGGGTTAAGGCACTGTGTAGTCTTATAGGTGATACCGAGGTTTCGGAGAAACAAATCGCCTTCATCTTCATGACGCTGAAGATGGAGGTGAAACGTTGGAAACCATCTACAAGACGACACGTAATCACAGCCCATAATATGACAATCTACAAGCTGCATACATCATCACGTACCGTAAACAAAGAATAGCTGATTATCGAAATTATATTCTGTACAAACGAAAATACGGGCCCACAAGAAATATTTTGAACCGTGGGTCGCCATCTGTCTTAAGCTAAGGAACTAACTAGGCCTAATTAATTACCTTAGGTCCAACATCACTAATACCAAAAAGACACGCCTTTGTAGGCTACAGAGTATTTGCCCTAGAATCAATAAATACACAAGGAAATAATTACGTAAATACACAAAATCCAATTTTTCAACTTTTCGAAACAGTGTTAAACGTTTGTCTCCTTTCTGGCATTAAACCTACCCTTCACATATCTGCACCCTTGAAGGGAAGACAAAATCATAGTCATAGTGACAATAAAACTGCTTTCACAATGACCTCCACTGAACGAGTAGGCTTAAAGCCACTCAATTTCTACGTAGTTCACTCGGTTCGGATTTCTTCCGTCAATTCGTGGCCTTTGTGTGGAGACCGAACCATGAAGGTATTTCCATACAGTGTCTAAAAACTTGCAGACCTTATCAACGCTCACAAATGGAAGTAAGTGGTAGTGTCAATAGTTGTAGGCCAAGTTTCGTCTATTTATGAGGCGCAGGAGACTTTGTCACGCAAAGTGGAAGGCTGTGGTTTTTTAACTTCTTTTATTTTGACCTGAGTCACTTACAGTCCTATTATTCATGGAGGCCACTGAATTTCAGTTATGTAGTAAGCCTGGCCGAGTCCAAATCACAAAATACAACCGACAGACGATGCGTGTATCCATTTGCTGGAAGTTGCTTGCAAGAGAGTTTGATTATGGAGAATTTAGCGTCGAGATTCTAGCGAGCATAGATACACTGCTCGTTGTAAACTGCTTATACATTGCGTCCACTTATGAAGTTAAACGCGACTGGCATTTCCCGGATCCCGGCAGGAACTGGATCATTCACTGCCAAGCCCTAGATTTTTCGGATAAGATTCAAGTATAATCCCATAAAACAATAAAATCAACATACCTGTGTTATAAGATGTGTTGAAAACGCTATCCCTAAACAAGTACACACATCCTGTACCGTTCAAACAGGTTAAGAGGAACTTGGTGGAATAAATCCCAGTATCAAGTATTTGGAGAGGGAACATGTCCATGCAAATGAAACCACACTTCATTGAAAGAAAAATGAAGGCCAACTTCAACACCATGAAGTGACTGCATAAACCAGTTCCAGATATGAGTCCTGCTAGTCGGGTTACGTGGTTGCAAAGCATGAACTATAGTCGTCTTGTACGGCCAAGTTAATCAACTTTGTCACTTTGGCTGCTGAAGATTTCGAGATGCCGGTCTCTGTGCATGGTGTCTCGGTGATTTCAGTGGTGTGTTCTAGCCTAGTTTTTATTCAGTAAGCACGCGGTGTATCCACTGATTTCTTGTCCGTAAGTAACCCACGTGGATCCAACTGGCTGGGACATACAAGAAGCAAAAGCTATAGAAGAGTAATTTTGTACAGTGCACTCTTCATCCATAAATCCCTTCTTATTTCGCGGGTTATGATTGCATATTCCAGCGGTAGCACGATTTTGGGCCAGTTACACACTGGTTCGAACCTCCGTGTGAGCATGAATGTTCTCACTTCTCGGTGTTGGTCACTGAAGTTAAGAGACCTCATGATGGAATGATTAAAAAATCTTAACGCCCGTTTGAACAAATCTAGAAAATATGGATTAAAAAAGTATCCAGGAACATACCTGAGCCTGAGAAGGTTAAAATGGGGAAGTGAGAAATTTAGAATACGTAGAAGGTTATCACTGCGGTGAATACGTAGGTGGCTGGCTGTCTTCTGGGTTGTAGCGCCGTGTTTACCAGCGTTTCAGAGTTCCTTGCTGCATCCATTATCAATATTATATATTTATACGCCAACAATTCGTAATATTAGAACAGTGAACGTTTGGGGCTACGATATGTTGGACATGTGAACGGTATGAAGGAAAAACAAATGCGTACAGGATTTTAATGGAAAACTTAATCGAAAACAGTCACTTGAGAGATTGATTAATATGAATCCTAGGAACCTTGAATGTGAGTATGGGAGGTGAATGACAATGGCTCAGTATCGTGTCCAAAGGCGGGATTTGGTATGGGTGGTGATGAACCTTGAACCTTCACGTTGTTCTCAGAATGTTAGTTGACAGTTCCTGAACACAAACTTCCCTTGGACTAGATTCAATCTCTTCATACGTCATCACAAGGTGCAATCTATTTGCTTCATTTATCCAAGTGCTGTAAGGTCAATACTGATCGACCAATTAGGCGCATTAACCTTGATGTCATGCCATGGACCATACAACATATAACCTTCGACACATCCACTAAATCTGAGGCAAGGCACGTTCAAAGCAAAATGATGTTTCGAATCTGCAATAAACAGCAGGGATAACTCAGGCAGTAGACTGGCTACTGGGTGAACGTCAGAATGGAATGGTTACTCAAAACAGATACAATTTTACGTTCATTGTTTATGCACACAATATA